AATACAATTTCCCTTGGGGTTGTACTACTGACCTATATCTGTTCATAAGCCCCATGAAATTCAAAATCTACCCGGTTGTGCATTGATAACACCAGCTGTTGAGGAAAGCTAAAAAAGGGGAAAGAAAGTTTCCACGCTGTATTGTGATGGGGCCATATGTTGTAGACTTGAAGCTTTGTTAGCTTCCCGGGGTATACTTGCAAATGAAATATCTGGTTTCGAGGAGGGGATATATGTCTCTCTGAACAAATTTAATTCATGGAACAGCTTGCAGAAGTATTTTTGAAATAGTTTTGTGGGAAATGGCAAGGCTAACAAAAATTAATTTGTTTCTGGCAAAGGATATTCTGTGTGTATGATCAGTTCAACATCTTATCATGGAAAATAAAACTGTTGTTGTTTTTGAGTGAAGCATACTCTCAAGGGTGAATGTTATGTTGTTTTTTACACGTTAACGATTGAGTCTGAATTATGTTTGACTAACATTTAGTCCCAGGAATAAAGTTCTCTTAAATAATAAAATCCAAACGAAGCTCAAAACAGTGCTTAATTTCAGGACTTGCCAAACCATTCAAGACTTGAGTTTAGACTCCTTTTAGAATTTATTCTCTAGGGTCTGGGAAACAGATTAGAATTATATAAGTACCAGCAGTTAAGTGGTTGATAGCATAAGCAAAAACAACATTATAATCAACAGATCCTCATTAATCAAAGTGGCCTAATCCAGTCTAATGTTTGCTCAATTAAATGTTTACATGGAGTAAGGTTATGTATTTATCATGTTTCAAAATTGAGTCGTATGGGAAAAAACATGCATGTAGCATATACTCTTTGAGTTGGATATTTGGTCATTTATGTGAACCGTACAACTGAATTTCGGGTGGTTTGGTGCTAATTGCTTGAAACAAAATGTTCATGTTATTGCATTAATACTTTTGTGAGGGCATTGTCATTGTAGTCGTACCTCTTACTGTCACATTAGACTGCCCCCGTGGTCTAGTGGTAGAGCGTCCGCCCGGAGAGCGGAAGGTCCGGGGTTCGATCCCCGACCACGTCATACCAAAAGACGTTAAAAGATGGTACTTGTTGTTACCCTGTCTGGCGCTCGGCATTAAGGGGCTGGTCGGCTCGGAGTCAGTATACTGTGTCTGGGTGGGGTATTCATGTTAAACTGCGGCATGGTATCTCAGTGAGCTAGCACTATAAATCGGCATCAGTCCGGACTAGTACAAGCAGCCACACACACACACACACGTGCATGCACGTTGCTATATAAGTGCAATAATCTTGGACGCAACGTTAAACCCCATTTCACCTCACCTACTGTCACATTACTGCATGGAGTCCTATCATGGCATGATTTCAGTTTTAAGCAATGCAGGAAAGAATTGTCAAAAATAGGGCATTAAATATCAAACAAAATGTGAATTAGTTCCCATTTTACGACAGGTCACAGGTTTCTTTGCAGCAAATGTGAATGACAGTTGCACCTTACTGTAAGACATCATAATTGGAATGTCGCTGCAAGTTAAAAATTAAGACAAATACATAATTGTGCATGTTTTTAACTCTTTGCAACAAAATAAGCTCACTAAAATACAGAAATTATGTTTTGTTATAGATGAACATTTTGTTTGTATTAGGTTAAGATAATTTTGTGCAGGAGTTAATAAGTGTTCCCAGCTCAATAGAATACACACAAACCACTTTAATATCCCCCCAGTTAAAGGGGGGAGGGGGGTTAATAATATAATCACCATGTCCGTCTCTCCGTCTTCTGTTTCAGGAGCAGGACTTCAAAACCATTACATATTTCTTCTTGAAACTTGCTATACAGATCAGTCTAGTGGAGAAATGGTGCCTTTTGATGATTTGGGATGTTAATTTTTTACTTTGGTTTCTTGATGACAAGTTTGACTTAACTGAAAATGATGGTAGTGCTCGTTTCCGGAGGAGAACTCCAAAACTGTTGAATATTTCTGGATGAAACTTGCTATACAGATCAGTCTAGCAGTGAATCTATGTTTTAAATATACGTCAGAAAAAGTTAATTACTCTGGATACAGACCAATGGACATCTTTAAAGACTTTTTGTATCTGATTGAACTGGCTCACAAAATTATCTGTAGATTTGTGTGTGAAGGAAATTAATTAAATGGTGTAAATGTATATTTCTATTTTCAATAAAGGTCAATCATTAGTTGATCATCATATGCTAAAATTGTGACATGTGATCAATGTAGAAATTTTATTTCTATTACAACATGATTTTGTTGAATTTAGTACTGAGTGGCTGTGTGTAAATTATTCATAGTTGCTATCTCATATCTGAAACCAGCAATTCAATTTTTACCTTTATCATCACTGAATTCCCTGTCATGCATGAAAGTTCTGCAGAATAAATTATAAGATAACCTATGTGTTAGCAGAGTTTGTGATATGTTATACTTTAGATGGCTTATATATAAATGATTGATACAAATATTGATTTTAAGTCCTTGCAATATGTAGATAAACCCTTTTGCAGTTATTCAGCCTTAAGAACAGAGAGAGGTATTAGGAAATTTGATTGGAACATTAGCATAATAAAGCCATTACTCAATGAAAAACTTTATTACATCCAACGGTATGGTGTAGAATACGTCCTGTGTAATAAGTAGCTATAAAGTATTGATATTATATTTCATGTCACAAACACCATAACACTGGGAATATGCCTGAAACAATATCTGATAGTTATTTCTCAGCAGTCAACAGCTGTTGGTTGTAACAGCTTGCACTGTACTGTGGAATAAAAGAATATATCCCCCTGTATAGTGCAAGTGCATTGTTATATGATGTTATCAAATATTGACGCTGACATGTTTTCATGTCTGTGTTCATGTGGAATGTGTAGGATTAATACATTGTTCATTTCAAGGACTGTTAAGTTTCATTTTGCCCTTGAGCATGCTGTTCACTGCAGTACTGATAGGAAAATATAAGGTGATATCAAATTGACAAATAAAATATTGATAATTATGGTGTATTCTGAGGTGTCAATGTAATCAGATGGTGGAAGTTTAGTGTTTCAGAATCCAATGACAGGCATATATTAATACAGAAGAAGGTTGTAATGGAGGATTTGCTGTTATATGTTGGAAAGACGCTTTTATGGTGTTAAATTATGTCATTTACTTAAAATATAGGCAAATATAATCAATGTGACATGTTGTGCACATGATAGAATAAAAAAGAATTAAGGAAAGGCTCGTGAACTGTTTCGTGTGTACTGTGTAATACCAGGAATATCAACTGATAACTTTGCATTAGGAGTCAAAACCTGTTTATGTATGCAAAAGACAGATATAATATTTGTCTGAAAGTAGCTGATCATACTAGTTTTAATATTTTTTCAGTATGTTAAACAAAATCTTTGATATTTTACCTGATGAGATAAAGATATTGGTCAAGACAGCATGAATATTATATTTATATGGGCAATTTCATTATCATTTGATAGGAAAATATTGATTTTAGATGGCTGCCTTGTTATGAGTACAGACCAAATGAACCATAGCACGTTGAATGATAAGGTTGGTTATGATAAGATGAAACTGTCTTATCAGTTATTAGTCGCTGGTATCTGACACTCTATAATGCATGGGGCATGGGTGGCCCAGTTGTTGAAGGTGCTACACTGCATAGTGCCAGGACCTTATGATCAATAACAGTGTTCAAAGCGGCATTAAACCCAACTCACTCACTAACTCACTCAAGTCAAAGCTGATTGTGATTATTCCTCCCTTGACATCTTGTCACCATCCTTACTGTAAGCATTGAACAAAAGAGGACCAAATTTACATTCCAGTGTTTTCATGTCCCGGTGGGAATGCTGGCCTAGCATAGAATACAGCAGCCCATGCTGGTTGTAAAAGGTGACATAATGGAATGGTTGGTCAGGCTCGGGGACATGGTTGATAGCATGTCATCAAACCCTGACAGTCTGGATAATTGCTCATGATATCAATCACTGGACTGTTGGTCCAGATTGTCAGTTTTTGAGGCATGTTACCTCTACAATGGAACTGTATTTTTACATATTTCTTCATAAGTCCTACCACATCAAACGTAAATTTCATTTATGTCAAAAGGTCAAGGTCACCTTAGAGGACATTTTTGATTGTATTTGTATCATATTTTCTTGTGAATATGGCATAGAGATTATTGCCAGTTACTGTTACACTTTTACTTGTACAATCCTGAGACTTGGTAATTGTTGGATCTTAGGAAGTTATCTTGATTAAGATCAAGGTCTGGAGGTAATCTGTTTATGCTGGAAGTGCATGGTGGTATGTTAAGACGATCCACATGTTTACATGTTAAACATCCTGTGTCACTCATGGAACTGAAGTACTGTTAAAAGTAGGGCTGTTACGATTCACTCGCGTATTCAGTGAATCGAACAGTGTCCATTCATGAATTGAATTCGTTATTCATAGTGACTGGAATCGAATATTTATGAATATGCAGTCATGTGCATTTACATACCCTGACCCTTAAAATAACCATAAGAACATATTATATGCATAGATTTCTTCAAAGACAACACTCTTTTATATTTAATTTGGCATATTGTGGTTACTGGTCATTGTCTCATTTCAGCAGATACTAGTACTAGTGCAGTATATAAATGCATAATAAATTAATAATTAACAAACCATGTTAAATAATTTAATTTGTAATTGTTTCACTGAATGTCATGAATAATACATCAACTCATGACTTGTTATTGTATTCGTGAATAAATATTCGTATTCGTTATCCTATATTCATGATATGAATCGTAATCACCGCATAGTGTATTCGTTGCACCCCTAGTTTAAAGCAACATTAAACTCCCCAAAATTTACTTTTTCATATGGACTAATTAAAATATGTACAATTATATTTTGACTCATATGAATTAAGCCACCATATACATGATGATTGATTTTGAAACAGTTGTTTCTCTTTTTCAGAAATAGTCTTTAGTGAAGGATTGCATGGTTAAGAAGTGGACAGAGATTCTCCAGATTGGCCTGTCATACCTGGCACGATTATAGCAACTTAAACAGAAAGGAGCTTCCACACTGCTGTTTGATAAATGGGATACCTTCTTTTGACTACTGGTGTCAGTGGATGATGCCAAGCATACCTTGTTACTAGTACAAAATAGTCAGTCTTTGATGTATATGAAGCTGTCAAAGATGAAGCACTTGTCAGTATACGCTGGAGTGGAAGGAATGTTCTTGTCAAACACTACGTGGATAAGGAAGCGTCAAGGATGAGGCCATATCATTTGTGCCAACAGATAAGATGACACGTAAGATACAGCAACAGGTGTGTTGAACATTACCATGAGCAAGCTTGTCAGTGTATGCATGAATTTACAAATGACCACTGGATATTCCCATCTCTCATGTCGTGGATATCAGAACTACATTGCAGTGGAACATGAAATCGATCCAGGACAAACCAACATATTGCACAGAACGTAATAACTCATTTGGACAAGCGGAGTACCTACATTGATGACTGCTGTATGCATGTAGGTAGTGAGATATTTACCTACATACATTGAACGACAGCACACATATTGATTTCGCAAAGAAAGCGCTGACAGGGGAAATTTCAGCACTGTTGTGCAAAGGCAGCGCTTACACAATCTCAGGAGCATGTATTTCCCCTTTGGAGGTGTCAAATACTTAAATGGATCTGTGTTACAAGATGCCAGTGGAAATCATGGAATGTGATATGATCCCCAAATGTTATCAAACATTTTCCTTGGATATCTGTGCAGTTTGTTGGAAACGACAGGTAAATACAGGTAAAGGTATGAGTTTTTACCGCCATCCTATTGGTTCAAAACCTTATGTAAAGAACATGGTGTTAGTGCCATTTTATTGTCATCTTAAAAGATCATAACATCATCTTCATGGATTCATATGTATGCAGCCACTGGATTTTTCTAGACACTTCAGATTCCCATTCAAAAGTGCTTTTATACATAGAAACATCATAGAAACTTTGCTGAGCTGAAGAATGTTCTAGGACAATTCGCTACAGTTTAAGATATTATATTTCTAGTGCCTGACACAACCAAATACAAGATGGATGATAACGTGGCATAATTGGTCAAAACATACTGGCTTGGTGATCAGGAAACAGGAAATTAAGCATCAGTCCAATAAATAGTGGTTTCAAATGTGGAATTAGGCACCTGAAGAACATGTCACAAGAGGATTATGTGCAGAAAGTGGATTAGCTTGACAAATACCTGTTTTTCCCATTCAAGCACAATTGGTGTGTAGTTATGCTGTGTTTTTTATGCCATTGATTTCAAGGCAGCAGCTGAGTCCTCAAGTGGTTCAAGAGATTGTGTTAGCATCTGTATGATTGCTGCATGTACAAGTTGATACTTACCATTTGCTACAAAATTGAAAAGTGATTTGGAGAAGCACCAACATCTCAAACTAATGTGTTTTCATCGAGTGTGGCATTTTGACAATCATTCATTCTGATGTGAGGGTTCATTCCATATGCTTGATGAGGAACGGAGATTTCTACTGTGTGAGATTGAAAAGGAACAAGTTCAAAATAATTACAATGTTCCTTTAACATGTTCAAGTTCAGGGTGTGTTCCAATGTTTCTACAAGACATCAGAGGAGGAATGGAGAATTAACCATCAGCATAGCACATAATGTTCCACTGCGGAATGTGTGCACATGATCATCCTGGAATTGTAACAACAATGGTATAAGTTTCGTGCTGCCAAATGGGGGAAAATGTATTCTTTATTGAGTTATCCCAATAAGAACAGCCAGTGGAGGTTGTTGTGTTCATTCAAAGTATTAGAGACAAGTATAAGATCCAAGGAGTGGCTCTCCAGGAATTGATGTCATCCAGCAAATTGTCACTCTTGCCAAAAGAGTTAAATGTGCCAATGAGCTGAAAATAGTTTTCTCTTTTCCCATACCTGGAAGTACTCCAGGCAGTTCATTATTGCTTTATCAAGTGATCCTGTCTTCATGGATTGGATGTATGTGTTCTTCATCATCACGAGATATTACATTGACAAACATGGATAGATAAGATAAGATAAGATAATATTTATTGCAGAAACGTTCCATTACGGGACAGATGCAATTTTAAAAGACAAGACATTATGATTCATATATACATATATACAGATGGATTTACATGGATATATTTTCATTTCCTTGGAATTGACTTGAAATCACTCCTGGTCCTGAATACTCAAATATTTTTCAACCAGAGAAACTTTATTGTCAGATTAGTATGATCTGAAGATTTACACATGTATGTTTCTATTACTTGGGGAAAACTTTGTCAAACATAAAAAAAGCTGTCTGTTGATTATTGGCACAGTCCAACAATCAGTTACATTTTTGTGTGTAATATGTTATTTTCATATTTCCGTTTAATTAATATTTCCTAAAGACAATCTTGTGTATTTCAATATAGATATAATAATAATTGAAATGTGATATAGCTACTAATATTGAAGTGCAGATCTCTCATTTTGTATTTATTAATCTTTTAATTGATAACAGTAATCTTGGCAATTGTAATAACAAAATTTGTTCACATTGCTGTTGCTATTTTATGTTAAAGTCATAAAATAAATATGTTTTGATTTGTAAAAGGTGTAATGTCTTGTGATATATATTTGCATAACAATAAAGTCATTCTCTCTGAATATTTCATGAATCATATCCAGTTTAAACATCAGATATTGTTTAACTGTTTAAATGCCTGCAATAAATTCTTTAGTGCAGTTTATTCTTTTTCATTACAGACTAGAATTCTAAACTATATGGAAAATTTGTATGCCTGTTATTGTGTATAATAAACATGAGTGATGGGTATTGTTTAGAAAATGCCTAATTCATTATTTAAATATAGTAGCACAAAGACAGGGTTACAAAGGTTACCATGACCAAGCCAAACATTCATTAGGATTCATGTCACCTAAGTCACCATGTCTCAATAAGTCATATCAAAGTGGGGCAGTCGTGGGCTGGAACTCTGGTTCTCCCTGATTATGTTTCTAGGCTTGCAAGCACCATACCTGTGCTCATGGGTTTTACCAAAATGATAAACGTGTGAGACCACACCACACCTCACCACACCACACCACACCACACCACACCACACCACACATCAATTGAAATTCCACATTTTCCAGCTTGAGTTATGAAAGACATGGACATCTATTTGCAGCCATTTGTTCATTTCTTTTGAAATCCAGTGCAATTATAATGTCCTGAGTCGAATGAAACATATGCTGCTGAGCCATGTGATTTTCCTGAATTATTGATCCCTTAATTTTGCCTACTCAGAAGTGCCAAGGGGCCCTATAATCAAACCAATACCTTATTCCCTTCAGCAAATAATCTGAACAATGATTTACAAGAATAAAATCAGATATTCCTTATTAAAAATTCCTTTCGTGTCTTTCGTGATCGATTGTGTTGGAATATTGTTTCCCCTGCAGTCTGGGAGCCTCAGAGTCCACTGTTCCCATCGTTAATTATTGATGTGCACACATGATGCAAATTTGAAGAGTTTGGATAATGTGTCAAATTAGGTGGTAGGATCAAAAGGGATGGTGGTTGAATGACACTATGTCACACATGTTGTTAGTTCTCACGGAAATTCACATCTTTTCCGATGACCTGGTCAAGACATCAAGTCTTAAAGTCGAGTACTGTGGGAGAGTTTTTGCAAGTTCATTTTGTTGTCTGAAAATGTGTTTTTGATATTTTTTGATTTGTCAAAACTAGGAAAAATTAACAAAGGTCTTTTCATCTTATTTCTCAATCGCAGTGGTCTACATTAAAACAAGTTTCTAAATGTGTTAAGCTATGTTTAATCCTGTTCATTGGGGAAAAGGACATAACTTGAATACTTTTATCTTCTTTTCATTCTGTTTTGAGGCCTTTTCAAAAAGCATCAAGCAATAAGGATTAATGAGGCAAAACATTTCTTACAGTTATAGTGTATTTGAGAACTGATTTTCACTGGCTGTTAAATCTGAAACATATATGTAAAAGACATTTTCAGGCTTCTCTTGACTCATTTTAGCACAACACCCACAGGGAGCTGGGGTCCAGGGTCTTGTTCCACAGAGCAGTCTTAGCCCTACGATGATCGTAAGTCTATGTGAAAGTATGGGAGTTACAATCACCTTATCGTTAAGATAGCTTTGTGGGACAGGACCCTGTTCTGACCATGGTGCCTTATTGGATTTACAGGTAGATGTGCAGCTTGTAGACTAACAGACAGAAAAGTTATTTGAAGTCTCACCTTATGTACAACATAAATAAGTCACTAAATACATAACAATGGGTTATGATAAATTAGTCATTCCTTATGGGAGACTATTTTTTTCCAGATCTTGTAGACAACTTTTATCCATTCCAATATGGAGAAAACAACCATTATAATTCTGCATTGTTGTATGATATAAAAATAGGATTTGTTTAGAAGGTTTGGTAGATTTTCACTGAACATTAAGAAATGTAACAATTCAAAGTTTGTTAGAATTTAATGATCCATTTAAATAACAGGTTCTTTGACACAGATTGAAGTCATAAGACACACTTGGTAATTTCATATGGGGCATATGTGTTATATGAAGTCAACTGTTTATTGATGTAACAGTTTCAGAGTACATGTATTCACTTTAATCAAAGATTTGAACACTAATCTCTTAGACTTGCTCAAAATCAGTTGACATAATGTGACCTGACAAGTCGTTAAAAGGCTGCATGCAGTCACTAGATTAAGACACACCAGATGTCACCATTGTAATGACGTTGATATATGCAACATTGTGTTTGTTTCTATTGTTGTTAGTTTGCTGCACACATTACCAGTCAAGGGGAGTATTTACAATCCATCCTTTTACACATGAATATTTAAATATTGGTTACTGTCCATGCCACTCTAGACATATCCTGACACTTAGACTTGTTCTCCTGTACATGGTTAGGCTGTTACTTAAATTAATAATTCACAAGTTACAGAAGCTTGACACATTGATAAGATATTTCAAATCGGTATTGCCATGTGTGACAGATATGTACATAGATAAATATACCAACCAGATGTCTCTATCACATCATCACATTCTCTGATGCAAAACACCTTTGACAGATGAAGGCTACACTTTACATCATTAAAATTAATTAAATCTATTCAACCATGTCTTTCATGCTTCGGTAAACTACACAATGGCATCAAGGGCCATACTAAAATGTCAGTGTCATTTTGTATGTAAATTGAAAGATAATATTGGTTATTCAAATTATTCTATGGTTCTCAAGTGATATGCATGAATGTAATTGAACAATATGTCTTTTTTTGTTATTAGAAATATTGATAGGTAGGGGCAATGGCTAGGGGTGGAAGTGGGGATGTTTCAGGTGGGCTAGGGGTGCTCTGGTGTAGACCTGTGTGAAATGTGAAGAGTAATTGACATAATGGCAAGTGTCAACAATCCCCCACTTCTACCCTGGATTACCCTTGGCTCGGTAGGCACACAGCATAAGCTTCATTTTGCCAAGTTTTGATGTCCACCAATGTCCTTATGTCCCTGTTAGTTAGAGTCAGTCATGACCCATGAAGATCCAGGTTAGAATGGGTCTTCAGCAATCCATGTTTGTTATAAGAGGCAACTTATGTGATTGGGTGGTCAGGTTTGCTGACTTGGTTGATGGCTATGTCACCATATCCCAATTACGTAGATTGATGCTCATGATCTCAGTCACTAGATTGTCAGGCCCATACTTGATTATTTACAGACTGCTGTCGTATAGCTGGAATATTGCTGAGAGCAGAATTAAACAACACAAACAAAAAGTCAATCATAATGAATTATCTACATCATGTACATAGAATATAAAACAATCATTCTGAAAAAAATATGATGCTCAAGCCTTGATCGCAGTAACAGGAGGCAGGTTTGTTTACTGTATTACTAACTGTCTAGAAGTTTTTACACCTATTATTTCTCCTTCATGCAAAATCAATATGTAATACAAGAAGTTTTAAAACATGGGAAAAACAAATATCACAGAAATACAGAGTTTATTGCACATATCCTTCCTCTGTTGGAAATTAGATATTTTTCATTAAAATTGCACGTCACGTCCTCCCAGTATTGATTAAATGCTATCAGGCTTTTCCAAACTGTTTGAGGTCATACTGGCCTTTCTTCTCCACTATCAATTATTTAAATTCTCTTCCCATCTGCCACGTGCTATTAGTTTGGGTAGGGTTCCTACCCATGAAGGCCAGTGCGTTTATGAGAGTGTGTTTTTATTTCGGCACGTTCAGTGGAAAACTCCCATCTGTTAGCTTACTCATTTCTCACTTGAGTGCTTGAAACTATGTTGTGTAGGTTGTTTGTGAATTTAAGATCAATAAATAATATACAATTGTAGGTTGATGTCAATAATTTCTGAGCAAATGGCAGTTTTAATCAATATGTGTTGTACAAACTTAACTTTCAGTTTCTATTTTGGTATGAAAAAAATAATCTCCAAAAAAATTATTAATAAAATGACAGATGTTGAGGAATGACATTTTCTGTTGTGAAAATTTGTATTACGAATAAAATGTCATTAACAATGTTGAATATCATGTTTCTTGTTTGATGTCAGCTAACAATTACCATCAGATCACTGAAACACTGAAGGGGGATGAAATACCTGTATTTCAGAAACTAAATTTAATCTTGATAAATACAGGTATGTAATATTTAAGTGACATCAAAATGTTAGATTCTGTAAATAGAATATGATACACATATATTTTTATTTTATTTTTTTAAGCAGTGTTAGGCATGGAAATCAATTAGAATTGATTTAATTAACTGAATTGATCAATGTATATTAATCTATGTGCAAATGTGTCTCTTTATATCATGTACACCATCTGTTGTGCAATCACACTAATGGCATGAAATCGATCATCTGTGACATGCAATAGATCTTGCATTATCCTTATTTTGTTAGACAAACACAAATAAATTGTAGATGTATCATGATATAAACATGTCAGCGCAAGAGAAATTGAAAATCAATGTTATGAGATAAAACTTCTCAATGATACCATTTATGGCCATTAGTTGCAGTTGTGTTCCAAAATAACAGATTTGATATCTCATAAATCATCCCGGCCTATTCTTATGCTAAACTCCCTGCTTCATACAAAGTACCAGAGATTTGGCATTAAAACATAACACATACTGTAAGCTACATACAAGACTGTAGGCTGTCAATCAATACGAGTAAATATTCCCAAAGTGAAGATTTTATCCATGCAACTATACAGAAGAATAATCTATAGAAAATTGTCTTTTGAATTTCATCCCAAAATTGATAAGGGCTTTATTGATTTGCTTTTATGTCAATTTCAAATAAAGTGGGGCTTTGATAGTTCTTTATGCAGAAAGTGACCATTGAAGCAGGGCCCTATTTATAGAAGTGACGCTTTCTATTATAATACTCAGTAGCTTCTATTGTTAGCCCTCAGCAACTAACAAATTTAGTCTCAGTATGACGCTAGGCTTTCCTTGCTGTGTGAGCTGGATAGCTAATTTGAAAATAATTTCAGTTTTCTGAAAGACACAGTGCTTATTGTTGGAAGGTTTTATAGAAATTTGAAACCTGCATTTGAGAGATGACTTGTCGCTGAATGTATCTCAAGAGGGCTTATAATAAACATCTGCTATAGTTTGAATCAAAGTTTGAAATTCAGATATAAAACATACTAATAAAATGTTTGTGGGTTGCATTGATTCACTGGAACAGATAATTCAATTCTTTCATGTAAATTGAACCCATTATTGCTTTAGCAAATTGAAT